ATGACCACAGAGAACTTAACACACATTCAAACTAGACAATGAGGAAATCGAAACAGTAAAAGAGTTCTCATATCTGGGAGCAAACATTGATAGAAATGGGGACTTCAGTCAGGAAATCAGAAGAAGATTTAGAATAGGGAGGATGGCTATGAAAGAACTAGAAAAGATTCTAAAATGCAAAGATATACAACTCAGCACAAAAGTTAGAATCAAAGAAGCCATTGTATTCCCTATTCCCATGGATGAATGTGAGAGCTGGACAGTCAAGAAAAAAGATAGGAGGAAAATCAATGCATTTGAGAGAATGTGGGGCTGGAGGAAAGTTCGGAGGATCCCATGGACAGCCAAAAGGACAAACAAATGGGTCCTAGAACAGATCAAGCCAGAGATATCCCTGGAAGCCAAGATAATAAGACTTAGACCAGGGGTCGCCAACCTACGGCCCGGAGGCCAGAACCGCCCCCCCGAGGCCTTTGGACCAGCCCCAGCCCGGTCCTGCTGCCGCCCACTGCTGCGTGAGTCGTGGCCGCCATTTTGTTTTCCAAAATAGTGGCGCAACTCGTTTGCGCATGCGGCGGAGTACTGTGCATGCTCAAACATGTTGCGGTCACCATTTTGTTTTCCAAAATGGCAGCCACGACTTGATCGCGCATGCGCAGTATGCCGGAAATACTGAGCATGCATGAGCAAGCGTGTGCGCACATGCACAGTACTTCCGGTGCACCGTGCATGTGCGCGCGAGCGTGCGCACACGGCACCATTTCCCCCCCTCGGCCCGCAGAAGACCTCGGGACCAGCGGACTGGCCCCAGGTAAGCAAAAGTTGCCTACCTGTGACTTAGACTGTCGTACTTTGGACACATCATGAAAAGGCATGAATCGTTGGAAAAGGCAATATTGCTGGGGAAGGTGGAGGGAGGAAGGAAGAGAGGAAGGCCACATGCGAGATGGATAGACTCTATGAAGGAGGTCACTATGGGTGTTAAGGGGTTGCAGGAGTTAAGCAGAGCAGTGGAGGACAGAGGGTCTTCTTGGAGATGTCTCATCCATAGGGCCGCCATGGGTCGAAATCAACTTGAGGGTAGTTAACAACAACAAACCTTTAAACATATGCTACCCAAAATGCTGGGGTCCTGGGAGGGCACCCACAAATTACTATGTCTAGGGGAATTTTTAATAGCTCAAATAAAATACTTTGGCTTGGGCAACAGTCAGCCTTGGGATCAATCCTATTTATACCGGTTCCAAGTCACACACAACTACAGAGGCAAATGCAAACAGGTTTTTGTAGTTTTGTTAAGAAAATAGTCAACACACGCACATACTCATGCACACACGCAAGAACTAATGAAGCAAAGGTGGGAGAAGGTGAATAGTGGAGGCCTTGCTAATGGTGATACATTACCCATCTTGAAGCGTGGTTGATATGATAGCCCTGTTTAAATATTTGAAGGGGTGTCATGTTGAGGATGGAGTAAGCTTGTTTTCGGCTTCTTCAGAGATTAGGACATGAAACAGTGGACGCAAGCTAGAGGAAAGGAGATTCCACCTAAATATTAGGAGGAATGT